TTTCAGTACGGACTAGTGTAAAATCATATCATTTAACAAAGTAAACAATTTTAAGAACCTTTGTCAATGCATAAAATGAACCAGTTGAATCATTGTGTTGCTTTGTTTTAGTATGAAAAATAACTAGATGATTGTGTATACTAATGTTTTCAGACGGTGGGTTTAAACATGATAAACATTGTTCGTTCATTGAACCCATGATATACTATATTTGCAACCACGTAAATGAAATAAGTGCAGTAAAATAGATATATTTTTATTCCAATAGTAACTAGTATTGTGACAAATATATAGTAAGTACTGAGAGGCGTTTTGATGCCAAAACGACGAAGAGTTCCGCACAGGTGTGTGTTTTTTTTTTGTTTTTTTTTTTTGCAAATGAGAGGGCTTTGTCCTGGCTTAAGACAAATGTTTGTGCTCCAATCACATTTCTGCTCTTCTAACATAAAACATTCTTAATTGTGCTTGAAAAAAAAAAATAATAAACATGCTCTAAGAAGTCGTGCTGTAATGGCGTATTAAAGAAATAAAAATTCTAGTGTTTATTCTTGTATCTTGTATCAAAACACATGTTTTGTAGAATTTACTTGAATATAAATATTTCGTTTGACACCCGTTATGGTCAGGATCATGTAAAGGACTTAAGACTGTTGCTAAATTCATAATGACGTCGAAATCTAATTTAACCTTCCTTGTTTCTTTACGGTACGTTTTGGTTCAAATCATATTATGTAGAACAAATAGTATTTTTTGTATAATTCAAACTAAACTCATGTAAAATGTTATTCCTCAAGTATATTCAGTTTTGAATTGAACTTTTTATTTACAAATTATCGTTTTCTGAAAGACTGTTGCCAATCTGAATACATTTCTTTTGTGTCTGATTTGGAAAACAACTTCTGATCCGAATTTATGACCGTTTTTTTTAAATAAAAATGGCCTTTTTTAAATAATTTGTTTATATACAATTTATGCCCGTTACATCATCTATAAGCAAGTGTAATCTTGATATTCTTGTTTCATCAACTTGTTTGTCAATGATTTACACCGTTTCATATATTGTTCATACGTAGAGCATGCTCTAACGTATCCAATAAAATGAGATATGTAAACTCTGTATGCAGGTTATGACAGTATATTGCTGCATAAATAAGTTAAGTTTTCGATTGTTAGTTAAAGTTGGCACCATACAGTTTGTTGTTAGATTACCATTTACGGCTTTTCAAGTAAAATATCGTCGCCCGCGTGGGCAGTTGTTAGTGGCTAAGTAAGGAATTGATCATTGCGTCGCAGGTTTGAATCAGTGTGGGACGTGAAGACTGGTCCTTCGGATGAGACCGAATAAGCCGAGGCCCCGTGTCGCAGTAGGTGCTGGCACGAAAAAGATCCCTCACTGCTCAATGGTTGTGAGTGCCGAGTATAAGACAAAATTTGTAGCTCTCTACCGGCAAGTGGGGGCGTCAGAATCTGTTGTATCTTATCTCATCGGATATATCGTATCGAATTACTATTGTCAATTGTGATACGTCGTTTTACAAGTACAATTAATATTATTTTAAAAAACAAGTTTTATTTTATTTATATTTTTTGTATGCCGTTCAGTCAAATATTTTATAAGCATTATGCTAAGGATAGTTAATTGACTAAGGACTAATTTATAAAAAAAAATGAAAACAATCCGGTACTATTTTCTAGAATGGATAACATTTTATTATATGGAATGATACAGTCATTTGATCAGAATTTTTGATACAAGGAACATTTACAAAGGTCTTGTTTGTTCACTTCAGGGTGCATTATGTCTCCAATCATTTCGGGATTTTGAAGGAAAGACAGTTAACAATAGATTTTATGCACTATGCATAAATTGATATACCATACAAAAAAAATTTAAACTATTGGCTACTAAAACAGACATCATTAATAATTAATAACAAAGAACATTTTCATGTTATTAACGACTCAATTATTCTCAACCAAGTCTCGCTGTTTTGTATACCATAAGATAGATTGCGTCACGCTGGGACCTCGGTGTTAAAAACAATTACTGTTTATTTGAGAGATTTTCCCTTTTTTCTTTTGCAAATTTTCTGTGACTTTCTGTGACTTGGTAATCTGTTTAAGGTAGAACCTATGTCGGAAAAGTCTTTGTCACAAGATTTGAAACTTTTCAAAATGATAAATCAAAACTTGCTTATCAATCAGTTAAAAGCACATGCCATTTTTCCTTGTAATCAAATGTAGTACAACCGGTGAAACTTGGAATGGTAATCTTTTTTTTATTATATTCTGCGATTTCACATTGTCAGTCATTTTTAGGGTACTAAATAATAAAAAAAATATGAAAAATCAAATTAAACTACTTTAAACATCGGCGTTTATTAAAAAAATTATCAAATTATTTTAAACAAATATATTAAAAAATGACTGTTTGGGTTTTTTTCATGATTTATGTTCTTTGAAATTAAGGGTGAGCTTTCAACATTGTTGAAAAATGTTTTAAAATTAAGAATTTTCACGAGTTATAATTTTGTACTTGTATATCCAAGGAATAAGTTAAAGACAAAAAATATATTTTACATAAGAGAGGCAAATTTTAGCAACATAGGCCAAAATTCCAATTAAACATCATAATTTCTTTAAAACATACATACTGAATTTAAAGACAGATAAAATAAAAGGATTAATAAAAGGTATATAAAACAGTATCAAAAATTATTGAGCGAATGGTAAATTTAGCAGTATGTATTGCAATAAATTAAAGATCAAAGATTAAGTGTCAATAAATATAAAATATGTCAATTAAGAATTAACTGTACCCAAATGATATGCCTCACAAAATGCGGAATTTATATAATTTATCACATTTGCCCAAATAAAGAGAAAGTTATTTACAACAATTTACAGTCGAAAAAAAAAGTTTTTACAGTTTACCATTCTTTACTAAAGTCCGAAACTTTTATTTAATTTTCACAGGTAATTAAATTATTTAAAAAAATGTTGTTTTTTACACCGTAACATTTTCTTTCAGAAAATTTATTAAAGATAACATCTATCTATTTACATGTAAAAAAAAAAACATATCTACTAGAAAAATTGTAACCAATCACCAACCATTAAAAATATACACGAATAATTAACAAATAATTATGAAAAAGAATGTAAACTATTTCACAAAATTTTCGCACAAGTGAAGATTTCTAAATATTTTTGCATCTCCTCAAATGGTTGCATATCATTGACGGTATCACAATACGTTGTGTAATTAATTTCCCTACATGAGATTGTCTGAGGTAGTCTTGACTTTGTCCACAAAAAGTCAAGATCTAGTAAATGTAAGGTGCCTACAAGTTCTCTTATTTAATAAATGCATTAAGTCATTTATCTCTATAACCCAAAAATATATAAATTAAATAAAGGTGCATATTAAGAGTATTTTGGCATTTTTAAAATAAAAAATATGATTCTAAATTGTATTCCATAAATTTTGCTTCATTTTCTACAATTTCTACTGAAGCTGTAAAGTACGGGAACAAGTAACATTTTATCAATTATGAAATCATATTGGATATAGCACAGGCTAAACACATTCACTGGAAATGATGTCATACGACGTAGATTCAACGTTAAACTATTCTTTATAAGGTTCTTAAAGACACTGTAGTCTCTCACTTTGTTAAATATTTGGTGTCAATCAATTATAAGAAAATGTATATAAACAAACCAAAAAAATAACAAAACAAAACAAAACAAAAAACAAAAAAAAAACTTTAAAAGGACACGGTTATAATTGAATACAAATAGGAATTTCTTTTTTTTTTTTTTTACAAGAAATCCAAGAGATCTTACAACATTTGACTATGTCCTTTAATGGAAGATATATAATTGAATATTATATATATCTTATTTTTTGTCATTTTCTAATAAACTAAAAACACCTTTATGCATTTGTCTACATTACAATATCTAAGACATGTTTGAATTATTTCTACGGAATATAAAAGCATTTAACAATTTGTAACCTTGTTTGAGATGATTTTCAAAACCTCCAATGGAAAAACCAATAGATATGAATAAACGCAAGTAACAAAGAGGCACATCCCCTTGCAAAAGAGTAATTTATTACTGCCCTGTTAATTCAAAAAGAGGGCAACAATAAGCAAAAGAAAAGTATTGTCGAACTGGCTTAGGTGAGCGGTGTTGGGTCCTGTTTTGCTTAGCTACATTTATATTGCGATTTATATATACAAACAAAAATATTTAGAAGAGGTTAGACAACCAACTAGTTTAATGTATCTAAGTATGTACATTTAAAAACTATATCACTACTATACGTGTACATGTTATTCAAACTGATACGTGTATAGTGTAACTATATAAAGAGGTATAATAATCCCATTATACCAATATTAATGTGATTTATTAATTTCATATTATATGAAAGATTTTGCAATATATTAAAATTATAATTTCTTAAACCCGGCTTGAAAAGCTGGGAGTTAGAAAGTGATGGGGTGTGTCCGTTCGTATGTCTGTAATGCCTTGGGATAAGCATCTATTATCCGCAACTCCTCTTATGTGACTGATTATAACTTAATGAGATTTTCATAAAGTCTTCGTTCATAGCGCACCTCCTATTTTACAATTTCATCTGATACATTTCCGCTTTCCCATAACAATACATTAAATTTGCCATAATCATACGGGATTGTGTAGTTTTAGAAATTTCATATTAATCATTGAAATCTCTTGATATTTTGTTTCCTTGAAACACACATGTATCGTGTATTGAATAGCAGAATTCATTCCTTTCTTGAACTGCTAAATTCGTATTTTTAAATGGATGTAATAGAAGGCATAATCAATCAGATTATGGTAGTTGCGCATGCTTACAGCTAATCCTTTGCTCAATCTACTTTCAGATCATATTTAAAATTAGATTCTTTGCATCAATTTGCTAAAGAAACTCTCTCATCATTTTTACGTTTATTTACTTTTCAATAACATTCTGTAATGTTTGGACTAAAAAGTATTTTATTTTTTTGTGCGTTGCACCATGCCGTATCCGCAAAAACTGATGACGTAAACAAAATAAAAGTGACCGCACCAGGCCAATGTATTAACACTGAAAGGATCATAAGAGTTTTAACTATCATAGGACAGAAACAGTGCATTCGAAAATGTTTGCAGAATGGTCAATGCAAATCTGTGAATTATAAAAGACAACAACTCCATTGTGAACTGACGGCAGCGCTATATGGCGATTCAGAATCTTCCTTAGTTCTGGATTCAGAATGTGACTACATTGAAATGGAAAATCAGACACTGGTAGGTTCGGATTTTTATTGTCCTTCATGCTCTTTTGAGTACATCAATTTTAATATTCTATTACATGATGAGTATATGTGTAGAAAAAAATACTAAATTTTGACAGTTTACCAAATTAAAGTATCAACAAGATTTTAAAATATGATAATTAATGGGAGTACATATATCTGCGTTATTATTAATTTCAAATTGTTATATTTTAAATCTTTATGCAAAATCCAAACATGCACAGTATTTCTATTTTATGGGTCTAGTATGTGCATATCCATGTTCTTTTTATTAGATTATAGAGATAGGTTTTAAGATTTAATTTGAAATTTCAGTTCTAGTAAAGTATCTCTGCATTAAGTAACAAAAGTTTTTATTGATAGTTTACACTAAAGTAAATTTTATACTAAATTTTGTGAAGGTTCTATGATTGCATCGTCTCATGCAATCCAAAATGGGTTTTTTTTGGTTAAAAATTATGAATTTAAATGGATTTAAATTTACTTCTTCTGTATTATTCTTATTTAATGAAGATTGAACCCTTAAAATGTGACATTCATCCATTGGGGAAATAAATATCAAAGTAGCAATGTTCATTGCATTCTTATAATTGTCTTAAACATGTTTATGTACATGTGTATATTTTGGGAAGATAATAAATTTCATAGAAATGAGTCAGGGCTGAAATTGTGTGTATTTTCACTACGGATTTGATGCTAAAACTATTTAGTATAAAGAGGCAAAATAATCGCCACGTTGAGACTAAATTTTATATGAATAGAAGATTTTTTAATGGAGGATAATTAATTTTGAAACTTCTTATTTTGTGCACAATCATTATTAATTTTTTTAAAATGTAATTATTTGAAGCTTAAAAACTTTAAATTTTTAGCAAATACAATAATCCTGAACATTGGAGTTTCATCAATAATAATCAAATAAAAATTTGTAAGAATTGCGTGATTACAGGAACTAGCTGGGTCCTGTAAGTCATCATCCTGCGAAGGCCAGTGCACTGTTTTGAGCAGCGAAAAAGCTTTCTGCATTCCAGGTCGTAAGTATGAATATAACGTTATAGAAGCTATTAAAGCACAAATTATTGGTATGAAATATTGAAAACATGTCATTAATTCTTATATTATTAAAAAATTGAACACTATTGAAGGTACTTGAACTTTATAGTGATGTTCTTTGTATTTCTTTACGTTTTTGAGAGTTCCGTATTTCGCAAATGTTCAATCTATTAATTGTAATTTTGCATGCACAATCAATTTGGTGCTTACTATAAATAGTTTGACAGGCATGTGTTTGGTCATTTCAAAGTTCGTTACAAGATCTCAAGGACACACATTTCCCTACCCAGCCCCGCTCTATGAATTATGCAACGCCTTGTATTGATTGATTGATTGTATATTGTTTAACGTACCTCTTGAGAATTTTTCACCGTAAGCCGGTGAAGGGCTTCAAATTTAGACCTATACTCGGCACTCAGGGTCATTGAGCAGTGAGGGTTCTTTATCCTGCCAGCGCCTACCGTGACACAGCACCTACGTTTTTAAGGTTATATCCGAAAGACCCGTGACTTTCAGTTCTGATGCCGAGCGCTTTGCAAAGAAACAGTCACTACTTATTTTTACGTCTTAGGTTTGACGCGGCGCCGCGAACGGGAATCGAACCTGGGCCTCCCGATCACGAAGCGAAATGAAATAATAATATATACGGACAGTTATTTTAGGTATTTATCGTCTACTTACGTCATGAAAATTTTTTGATTATTGATATATAAATGCGATCTTGTACATGTAACGAATTCACCTGACCTAAACTATTTGTGTTGTCTTTTTTTATTCAAATTTTTCAAGAAAAAGGATTATTTTCGGGTGAGTTTACGAGAGAGAAAAAAAATGTTTCACTTGTGGTTTCCAGTGAGACACTTTCCTCTGCATGGCAGCTGAAATAATTTTTAGTTATTTTACGTCACATTCTATTACATCAGTAGGATGTGCGTGCAGAAAAGATACTGCAGAGGATGCAAGTGTGACATTTACGGGCATTCTTTACTCTACGATTTTTCGCTTGACAAAAAAAATCGAAGTAGATTTTTCCATTTCATTTTAAAGGTATGTCACTCTTCAAAAATTTGAAAAGTTCACGCAGAACCTCTTACTTCAAAACTATTTATGCTTATTCAATTTTTTGTAATATATTTAAATTCAACAACAAAAATTGTTCAACGTTCAATGAAAATGATTCACAAAAAGCTAGATTTATGAGGGACTATTTCTTGTGGTGGAAGGATATTTCGCGGAAAATTATGCAATTCTGCACATTTAATCAATTCAATATCTTGAAACTTTATCTACACATACTTTGACTCAAAAACATTTCCGTTATGATATGCAGGGAATATTTAAAATAGGTCTCAATTCATATTCTTAGAACAAATTTTACAACTTCCCATATCAAACATTGTCGAGAAATGAAGATATATATTAAAGAAGTCAAGATAAAATTTTCACAGTTTTTTTTTTTTGGCCCCCAAATTACATATTTTAACAAATATATTTCGAAATTGGTCATCACTCGTCCCAATGTTTTCTTTCAATATTTTAAACTACTCGATACTTGTGACTGATCAGCACTTTAGTAGTAAAAAGTTTGATACAAGAGAATATTTTAATGCTTATTTAGATCTTTAATACCCCAAATACATGTGCATGTTACTTTTTCGGTGCAAAAAGGTCAGACAATAATTAATTTGCCAGATTTGTTCAATGATTAAATATTAATCAAACCATTTTACGTAAAACTAGAGGCAATGTGAGCAATGAGCTCACTAAATGATGCCCCCGCCTCTTATATGAATAAAATGGCAGTGTCCATGTTTTGCTATGGAAAAACCAAAATATGTGTCGGATCAAAAAGTAAATTAAGAGGTGCAAAATAGCAATATGTAATAAAGATTCCGTGAAATTCACATCAAATTTCATTCAGTGGTACATGTATGAGAGGAGTTGCAGATAAGAGATAGGTACATGTACCCCAAAGCGTAGGAGACGGACGGACAGACGAACAGACAGACGACGGACATCCCAATTACTAAATACCCTCCCGCTTCTCAAGCAGGGGTATGATAATTAAAAATTCTTTATTGCTTTGGTTACATCTGGTAAAACATGATAAAGGTTAAAGTAATTAACCAAAGAGTTAAAATTTAATTGCAAAAGGTCAATTTAATTGCACAGTAGCACAGTAAGATGCATACCGACCCCCTATGAGTACTTATCCAAAATATACTTCTCAAATGAAAATTTACGAGTGACATACCTTAAACAAGACTTTGCATTGGTGATTGTATTTTTGTGCATCTCAATAAAAAAATCAGTATGGAAACACCACCACTTGCCGGTGGAGAGATAGTTGCAATTTGTTTTACCTATAGATAATTATCAGTAGACACAAATTAACAAGAGTTATTTCCCATTGGCCGCCATCTTGGTGGTCAACCTGGTAATTTTCCTTCTTTGTCTTACCAAATTTAAAAGGTTGTAGCTGATATATTAAGAGGGAAATCTTTATTGAATAAAAGTTATGAAATAAAAGAGGCTCTACCAAATGCACATTCTTCAGATGAACTATGCTTCCTATACTCCATGAATGCCAGTATAAAAAAAGTTAAAGTTGGTTGAATAATGAAGGAAAATGAGCACAATATGGGACCAATCGGAAATATCTCTTGTTAATTTAGGTCTACTGAAATCTGTCTATACTCGGCACTCTCGGCCATTCAGCAGTGAGTGTCATTTTTGTTCCATTCAACTTCTACTGCAAAACGTGACCTCGGTTTATATTTCCTCATCCAAAGGGCCGGTCTCCACGTCCCACAATGGGATTTGAACCAGCGACTTAATCCATTACAGCACGACTTTAGAGCAGCCACTCATACCTCGCCTGTGACTTAAGTGTTTAATGAAACAAATCTAAAATAATGACATATTGAGAATCTATGATCAGCATATGCAACAATGGATAAAGAGAAAGAAAACAGTATTATTTTACAAGAAAGTTGATTTTAATATTTCAATCAGTCTTTTACAATAAAATCCTATATATAAAGTGAGAAAAAATGTTTAGATTTAAAAAATAAATGTTTACAGAAAGGAAAATTTTTAACAAATGTGATTAAAGAATGTTTATTACAACAGAAATATGAAGTAATCCAGACATCTTTCTTCCTCTTTTGGAATCATCTAACTGATAGTTTTTGTACCTAGAAATGTAAATTTATATAAACATTATGACATGTTAAATATACGTGACAGGTTTTTTTTAAGGTTGTGCTGCTGGCTGGGTTCGATTTGAAAACAAATGCTACCTGTTCAACCATACAAGTCAGAATTGGACGGATGCAGACGTAAGTCAAAAGTAAAGGGCAAATGATTTACATGTAATCTTTTCTTTCGCATCCTATTGTTGGAATATTTAAGGAAGAACTACAAGATGGGTATGTTACGGCACTAACATCAGTTTGAAATGTGAACATTTTCGATTACTTTTTTTTATTCTTTGACCTTTACCATTGTATACTCATTTCGGCATGCGCGGATCATCGACTTGTATTTCTAGGGATAAACTACGTATGAACTAAATAGTTATCAAGAGCAATTTATTTACAGCAAAACTTGTATACTTTGAAAAATAGACCAAAGAACAGTGATCTATTAATCACCATTTTTTCTTTTTAACTCGACGTTTTTGAATAAGATAAAGACACTAGAGTTTCAGAGAAATAAAAACGGTTATCAAATTGCATTACTAATGGAACATATATATTTACACAGTACTACGTACTTTTATGGACATATTGTTTAAGTGTTATCTTCATTTTCAGAGTGTCTGTCAAGGTTTTAACTCAATACTAGCCGAGCCAAGAACAGAGGCAGAATCCAAATTTTTGATCAATCAAGCCTACAGCCTAGGTAAACTGTCAAGCAAAACGCGTATTTATTATTTAAAAATAACATACCGTATAAGCAGAATATTAAGCGATGTTTTAATTTTGGTATTATTAGCGAGGATGCCAAGATCGCTAAAATGTAATATTGCTAATAATTAATTGCGCTTTATTTGTTATAGATTCTTCAGTATACTTGTTAAAATCTCTAAAATTACATTTCTTTAAAAATAACATTCCAATTTTTGAGGACGAATAGCTAAATCTGCGTCACGCTAAACATTCCTCTTATACGGTAGTAGGATTTCTGATAGTTTAAAGGATTATCCTTTTTATTTACGTCAAATTTTCGATGAATTATTATCCATGATTGACACACTTGTATTTCTTGTGCGAATATTTAGCTATTTCATTTTTTCAATCAAGTAATAATCTTCTAATACATGTTCTATATTCGTAAGTGTCTATAGAATTCATTTCTAAAATCAGGGGGCGCCTTCTGGATTGGTTTAACGGACATTGCAGAAGAGGGTATATGGGTATATTCCTCTGATCAGCGTAACATTACCATTAAAGACTTTGCCGAAAATGAACCGAATCACGGTAAGGCTGGAAACTGTCTTCATTTGTGGCCGGACTTCCGTGGACAGTGGGCGGACAATCCGTGTTCAGGACGAAGTAAATTCATCTGTGAAAAAAACGTCACGCACATCGAGTAAGATGACCTAATTACATATATTAACTTTATGATTTTGCAAAAAAAAAATTGATTAATTGTATGTTTTTTGGTTCTATTTGAGAATTTTTTCACTCATATAAGACACAACCATATACCGTTGAAGGGCTTTAATTTTTAACCATTACACGCCACTTACGGCTATTGAGTAGTGAGGGTTCTTTATCGTGCCGTTCCGTGACTCGGAGTTTCGGTAAATGGTCTCATCCGAAGGACCGGCAACTTTCACGTGTGCCGAGCATGTGGCGAAGGAAAAGTTATACTACATGTACCTATTCTTATCGACTTAGTTCAGTCGCAACCGCGATTCGAACTGAAAACCTTCCGATCGCACTTGCAACCGCTCTTCCGACTAAGTTTCCGTGAACTATTGTCTGGAAATTGAAAGAGATTAAATGATTGAAAAAGGATAAGAAGTTGAAGAGACGAATGGGATGAATTAGAACATTCAAAGAAAGATAATAAAAGAAATTTTTTACTCTTTATTTGTTTTTAAAGATATATCAGTTAAAACTGCGTTTTGATGCCCAATAGACCTAAAGAATTATATCTATTGTAAGAATTCTGCACAGGAGTATTTTTTCTTTGTTTTTGTTTGTTTGTTTTGTTTTGTACAAACGCAAGGGTTTTGTCCCGACTTGTCTCTAGCGTTTGTGCTCCGTTTAATTTGTGCTTTTCTAATTATAACATATATATAATTATTCTTAAAAGTACTAAGTAAAATAATTATTTCCTCTACTTCAAATTCAATGCTTCATTTTTTTAAGAAGGGGAACCGTTTTTACCGTTACTGTTTCTGAGAATCTGTTGCCAGTCTGGATATATTATGTTCGTATGATATGGATAAAAAAAAAACTTCTGCATGTATTCAAGACCAGTTTTCTTTTCTTTTTTCTTTTTTCATAAAAAAGAAATTGCCCGATACATCTCATTAGATTAAGCTGTAGTTGTAAATAAATCATCATTTAAAAGAATTCAATATATAAAATTGTCGAAATCGTTATTCTTGTATTTAACTGATCTTTGATCTTTACCTTGATGTTTACCCTCTGTTAAGAGAGATAACTTCTGAAAAAATATCCAATTATTTTCATCAAATATTTGTTTAGCCTTCATATGATCAGTGTTTTTTAGTCATTCCTTAATTTCCCAACAAACATCTCTGCAGTATATTTTTTGGTAGTTATTGTATTGTATTTGATGAAATCATTTGCACCCGGTTTATTCATTTTTATACCATAAAACATGACTTTCTTTTATCCATTTTAAAATTAAATACCGACGTAACTGCTCATGTACATTTACAGTGTATAAACATGTATTTTATTGTAAGCATATGGAAGACGAAAAGAACTTTTACTCTTGCTTGCTAAAGGACACGTTTTGTTACAAGCATATAAATAATTACTTAGATATTTTGACTTGGAAAGGATCCTTGGAAAGGATCGACGTTTAATTCCTAAAGTATTTTTTTAAATGACTTCATGATCATTTGTATCATTATTAATTATTCATGTAAATAATATATATAATTTCAATGTTGTGGTAATAAAATCATTGCTCTTTCTAGTCGCTGTGTCTATTTCTTTAAAAAGATGGTGAGAGTTTGTTTTTTGTTTTTTAGAAAAAAATGCCTCGCTTCATACTTCGAGTTATGTTTTTCAGTAAAAACTATGTTCTTTGTTGATTAAACTTAAGGTCAGATAACCATAACTAATTGAACTACTCTTATTTTTCAAAATTTATATTACTATAATCACATACCAGGGTTAATAAAGTGATCTCACATAAAATCTTTAGTAATCAAATGTTTTTAAAAAAGATTGTATAAAAATACCTCAAAAACCATTTATTTTGAGTATTGCCTTAAAATTTCATTTAAGTGTACATGTACACAGTACACTTAAAATATGATAAACGAAACGCTAGATCCCGATTATTGCAGCACGAGAAGAATGCTTTATTGATTTTTATTGTTTTTTAAGTAGAGACGTCGACAAATACAGGTGAAGGGATTCAAATTTTAACCTTTACCTCGGCACTTACGGCCACTGAGTAGTGATCGAGTGGGTAATAAGTGTCTTTATTGTGCCAGTGTCTCTACAGAGGTTTTTATGACTGTTTTTACTTGGCATTTATAAAACAGTTGTTTGAATTTTAATATACTTGAACTCTTGACATCGACCTTGGAAATTTATCTACTTTTGAAAGATATATACCGTTTTTTTACAATGGGAATTACTTTTGATATGCTTAAGGGAGGGCTGTCAAATTTTATCAGGTTATTTCATGTGCAAGGTTCTTTCTCCCAAAACCAACATTTTCATCGATTTAACCCTTACTTTTTTTGTTAGATATACTTTAAAAAAAATTGCCGTATGGAAATTTTAATCGATCCGTAAGACCCTACAAACATCTTGACGTATGAATTCCACATGAAATCTTTTTAACTAACATGTACATGTATCCGTGAAATCTAGGTAATTTATTGATATTGATTATTTATTACTTAATTTATAATAATGTTTGTTTTAAATATTCTAACCTTTAAGTATAATGTAATGTATGAATTCATACAATTTAACTTTGAAAATTTAGTAAAACCTGAAGGTGAAGGTCAAGGGGTATTTTTTTTAACTTGCTAGGAAACATTTTGTTTCAGGCAATGCAAATACGAAAGCCCTATCTTTTTCTCAAAAGTTATTAGGGAAAAAAACATTTTTAAAAAGTAAACAAGACTTTAAGGTCAAAGTCGGGGAGGGGTTGGGGGGTCAAAATTTTGTGTATTTAGAAAGGTCTCATCAAAGGTAATGTACATGTGAAATATTAAATATTAAATATCCCATCACTTCTCATTCAAGGTTAGGAGTATGATTAAAGTTTTTGACAAGTAGATCAAACTTTAAGGTTACGGAATCAAAATTATAGTGTATTAAGAAAGGTCTTGTCACAGTTAATACATTTGAAAAATGAAAGCTAAACCTTTTTAAAAGTACATTGTAATAGCCAATTTTAATTAATGTTAAAATTTTTGAAAAAGAGGTTAAAAATCAAAATGTATAAAAAAGGCCTTGCCCCTGATAATACATATCAGTAATATGAAAATTCCATCTTCTCTTTATAAAAAGTAATGACCAATTGAAAGTTATCTTATTTCTTTAAAGAGAAGGTAAAACCCTAAACGTGTTTTCATAAAATGAGTTCTGAAGAAAAGGTTTTGTCTTACTCTCCGTCAAAAGTATACATATGCGGATCTGCTCTAACAGCACAAGATCTTCCTTAAAGGTTCCAGTTTTTATTTCCTTCTCGAACACTAATCTGAAACATAAACTCTAACCCTCTCTCTATATAATCTCGAGCTCTATATAAAATTTACTTCAGAATTGTGAAAAATACAAAATAAATTGCGAATAATATCCAGGTAGAAATTTAAAAAAAAATCAGCTTTATAAGGTAAATGCTTTATAAATGATTAATAATTATTTTTTAAAAATTACAGATACACAACTCACAGAAATCAATAAATTCATTTGGCATCCATATATTGAGGATTGAATTACTTAGTTTACAAACTTGAATGTTTTCGGCGTTGCCTGTGAATACAATATTGCCTTAGTAATTGATTATTCTGTTCTCATTAAATGTGAATGTAAAACAGAAATGTCAGGCAAAGACACGTGCTCGAATATTTTACTTCACACACCGTTAGTTCCCCTCGTCTTAAATCTTAAGGTCATATGACGGTTGATGACGTAACCATCCGTGTCTTGGATATAAATCGGAAATGAAATGCTCTGCCTCAATTCACCGTTTTCATACCTATGTTTTTCATTGTAGTTGAAGCTTTTAACTTTGACCTCGCACTGATTGGACAAACCCCTCCACCTTATGCAGTGTAATCGTCTGTTTTAAAGGTCATGTGAATGTTAAGGTCGCTAACTGGTTGTGGAATATCATTGAAAACAAGAGACCATTGGGCCACATCGCTCACCTGAGAAGCTTTGACCATTCTATTCTTAACAAGATTTCCCCCTCTTAATACCTATTGTGACCCCATCGTACCCCAAAGGTCATACTTTGGACAATTTAAAATATACACTACCCCCAGACACTTCCACATAAGTATCAGCTTTTCTGGCCCGATGGTTCTGAGAAGAAAAATTTTAAAGATTTCTCTTAAATATTTCTATGTGAAACTTTGATTCCCTATTGTGGTCCCGCCCAACACCTTGGGTCATAATTTGTACAATTTAGAATCGCCACTACCCAAGGATGCTTCCACCTAAGTTTCAGCTTTTCTGGCCCAGTGGTTCTTGAGAAGAAGATTTTTAAAGATTTTTTCTGTATATTCCTAGTATGTAAAACTTTGATCGTCTATTGTGGCCCCACCTACCCAAGAGAGTCATGATTGGAACAAACTTAAATTTCGCTGCCTGAGGATGCTTCCGTATAAATATGACCAATCATGGCTTTGTTGTTCTTGAGAAAAAGATTTTGAAAGATTTTTCCTGTATATTTCTACGTAAAACTTTAATTCCCTATTGTGGTCCCGTCCAACCCCCGGGGGTCATGATTTGAACAATTTAGAATCTACACTATCCCAGAATCTACACTATCACTACCACAGTTAATAGAAAATGGAGATGTAAGAATACAGTAAATCGTCGATCGTTATAATAGCAAGAGTTTTCAATACCTATAATGTATCCTCACAAATCTTCATCACACAATTAACTGCGTTGTTTTTCATGAAAACTCCTTATCCAACCTTACACAAATAAAAATTTGGAAAAGTATTGACAGGAAAAGAGAAACTGTTTTAAATATAATTGCAAAGATTAAGTTAAAAACAATGTTCAGATAATTATGTATAAGTTTTTGCTCTGCAGAGCTTAGCATCTCCACAAGGTGTTTTGATTTTTTGGTGATAAATGTTCCATTATGCATATATAGTTTACAACACTCGTACATAATAAGATTGGAGAGTTTATAGAAGAAAATCACGTTTAATCATTTTCATAAAGAGTATTAATGTATACTTTATATTATTTGATGCATCACAATTCTGTTTATATGATCTTCATCAACTCAATTATTTGAATATGCATGAAAAATTTCAAACCTCTATTCAAGCAATCATAAAACTTAAAGAAATCCTACTAGGTTTCCTTGATTTCATATATCTCAAATTCAAATTTAAAATTTAACTATGGATGCTATTGCCTCACTCAAGCACTCATTATTCGTTACTTCCAATTGTTATGATTATTTTGTTTTGATAAGAACAAATCACTCATTTTTTCGCTGTTTTTTTTTAAATATACGCTCTTCTCTCCATTATTGAGAGTGTAAGGATTTGAATCAAGATAAAATAAACAAATATGAAAATAAATGTCTGTATAAAAATTTTCCTAAATGCATACATATTTGTATCTGTAATTTTTTTTATACAATTCAGTTTTCTACCACATTAGAAAGAAAACCATGCGAAGTGATAACTCGTAAATTTTGTTTGAGGAAAATCAACGAGAGAAGCATGTCTGTTGCAACAGTAAATAACGGTTTACACTATAAAATGATTTTTTAGATTTTCGAAAGAAATATGAAACTTTCATATATACAATGTAATTTGATTACTATACAATTTTAATTTCAAGTGTTAATTTCAGTAATGCTATGAACAATTTTTCAATGAACAATCTGTCCGTCATGAAAGAAAAAAATAAATGAAATTCAAACTATTTTTATTGAGAAAACCATGTAAGGAATGCAAAAATGTCAATAAAAAATAATGAAAAAGTACAAAAAAAGTACATGGAAACAAAAACAAAGATACCCTAAAAAGACATTAAAACAATATATAAGCGGGAAAAAATATCAATCAAAACATTATCGAGTTTACTTTAAAATAATAATATTATTGTTAAATTTTGAAAACTCGACATAAATGGACATTCAATTAAAGATAATTTAATCAAAAGTAGGTATTCCGAATCCACCATTAATTTTCGAAATAGCAAATATTACGTCTGATTTTTTTAAATGCATGTTTGAAACAAATCGCAGTGAAAATAAATAATATCAATGAAGTTAAGACAAAAGGAGATCTGCCATTTGGGCATGATATAAGAATTTAAAATATAAATAAAACACAAAAGAAAAAAAAAACGAAGTAAAACAAAAATTCATTTTCGTGTGCTAATCTAAATTTAATTACAATGTATTCTTTTTTCTTTTAGGCCACATCCCATTTTAAAAAAAAAAACAAAAAAAAAAAACAATAAGTAAAAAATAAGCCAATACTGTATCAAATAAAACAAATAATACATGGTTTATATTGTCTTCTGAAAACATAGTTAGTGACTTTTGAGGGTAAACTTCCTTTGACTAGAAATTGGCGTACACACTGTCATTTCTCAAATATTCTGCAACAGCCTCATGACAAAGCTGGTATTCCTCCTAGAACAGAAAATAATTAAAGTGCAATATTTATATCATTTCATATGAGTTTTTTTTAAAAAACTGGTAAAGATGTCGTTGATAATTTATTTAATGATGAATTATAAATCCGTCTTGATTTATTTTTTGTAAAACTCTATTACAATGAAGGTAACAGAGTGTAAGCAACTTAAATAAAAATAACAAATGGAATGATCCTCTTTCTATCCCTTTTATGAGGCTGTTTCAACTGTCATCAAATATTGAAGAATATTACCCATATTAAGTAAACATTCATTAAAGTAAAAAAAGTTTTATGAAAATCACTTATAATTCTTATTTGATGCATAATGTTTAAACTTTTCAAAAAAAGCAGATCGCAGAAAAATGGGATAATGATGTAATTTCTTACCAAGGTAGACACAAACTCCGGTCTCCGGATCTGAAGTTGCCGTGTGATGGTGAAGATGTCCACTTCCTGATCCATGGAGAGTTGTTCTAGAGCGTTATAGACTACGCAAAATGACCCACAACGAGTTGCACCATCACTATAAAAAATGAAAATAGAGACATTTACATTTAAACAGTTTATATCTCATATTATCAAAATATCTAAGCAGTGCTCATCAAAATAGAAATTGTATCAGATTTTTTCTGCTTTTAACAGAGAGTCTTGTCGTTACACAGTAAATTCAACGAAAGACAATAAAAACACGTGCGGTATAATAAGGAAAGTGAGAAATTGGTTACTTAGTAGCGAGCGCAGAGAGGCTCGTCACTGCGAGCTCTTAAAGCAACGCCTGGGCGAAAAGAAAATTCGGACTACTGCACATTCATTCGTCAGATTGTTGTTCCTCAGTAACTCTGGACCCACAATGCATCACTTGTTAAAGCTACTTTCTCGCGAGAATAGCAGCAAACGTTCAAATAAAAGTTAATACGCTTTGATTATATCAATAAATATTGAAGATAAATAGTAAAGAGAACGTTCTTCCTTTTTTCAGCACTGTTCAGGTTTCTTTTAGGAAATGTAAACTTACATTCGCCGTTAAGTGACACATCAAATTGCACGTGAGGGTTGACAAGCCCGGTCTCACATAAAACGAAAGAAATATCTGGGCTCCCCATAACGGTCGCACCGTCAACATATTAGATTCACACTCATGTTTTAGCGCATTATTTACAATAAGATCTTCCCTTTGATTAATACTACCTTGAAAGTACGAGCAGTCTATTTCCGTGATCAAGGCTTTCACTTTTTGCCGCCTTTACAACTTCCACTAAGTCTCTTTTATCTGCACTAGTGAGCCCTTCTTTCCATTTCGGGCATCCAAGCACAGTCACTCTCAAAGAACTGCATCCCTATTTTGCAAATAAAGTGTATGGTACATGTACATTAGAGGAACAAAATGAATAGCATTTTCTAAGAATGAACAAAAAAATGTTTTGAATAAATATTGCTGTTTTTGTCACAAACCTTGGGCTTAAGAAGTATATTTGTTTTGGAAACCTGTGGAGATTCTTCACATGAATTTAGCTTAACTGTAAAATTTCCAACAGTTTTCTTCATGTTTTTGGATGGGATCCAGAGAGAGAACTACAAATAAGGAAAATATTTATGTTTAAGGATTTTTTAAAGAAAAGATTTCATAAAATCACTACTAATTTGTGAAACATTAAAAAAAAGCCAAAGAACAAAGTTCACGTTTTCTTTTTTGGCCCTGTGAATTTCTGATAAAACTGAAACTGTTTAGTTTTTGGTAACAATGCATTGAATACCACTTAGATCTTTGGTGATTTTGTATCTATAAAAAAAAGACCTCTGATCTAAAATATGCAATTAGTACATGATAGAACTATTTCTAAGGATTAAAAGACGTGTTTTATTATTTAGATCAGAGAGTGCGCTCATATTATTTTTCTTCACCGAATGTACTCAAATATACCTGTTTACCATAAAATTCAAGAACATTCCAATTTCATAAAACATTGCAATTTCATAAAACCTGTTCTTCAAGACCTGGACTTTTACGAGAAAAATGTTAATAGGAAATGAAAGCACTTGATCTCTTTTTTATTTTAATGTTCCAAATGGATCATCAAGTGTTACATGTAATCAATCAATTGGTATATCTACACGGCCTTTTTTATGCATAAAGTGAACAGATCTCTTTAATTATAAATATATATTTAAAAATACGCTTTGTTCAAATTTATTGAAAATTGCTGAACTTACCGTCTCCTGAAGCATATTATTATTTTTTTCTTTTTCTTATAATTCCGTATGTACATGTAATTCAAATGATGTTTGTTTGTTTTGTTATAAAACGTTAAATGCCAAGAATTTTGGACATTCCAATGTCATTATTATATAAGCTGCAATCTTTTTTTCAGAACTACAAACACCTGAAATGTTACTTACAGATTCCAAATCAGATAATGGACAAAGGAAGACAACTACATGGACGTTCATATCCATTATCAGCCTTAGGAAGTCTTCTGTGTATTCATGTAGAGGATATTGGGCACTAATGAGGCTATCGTTTTCTTTATAAGACTATAAAAATATAATTCCCTTTCAGGAAATGTTTCTTTAAACATGTACTATAAATTAAACCTCGAACTTTTAAACCAAGAAAAATTTGGTGAATATAAATAATATTGTGTAGGAAAACCTTTAGCATATATGTATTGGATTCTAGGCTTTTAACATGTTAAAAAATAACAAAAATATGTGTTAAAGGGGCATGGACACAGTTCACCTAAAAATTTTCAAACTTATTTTTTTCATTTTTACAAATACTTACGAGGGCTGTTCGGAAATTATTGAGACATTGTGTATATTTTTCTTTCTAATGAACGTCTTTCGGGGAAATTTTGCATATACGTTTGACAAACATTAAGAATTCATAAAAGCAAGATATCATTTACAAATATTAAATTTCATGTTTTCAATGGTATAAAAATATATCAATGGTAGGGGTACCCGGAGCAGTCACAAAATCAGATACTGAAAATATGTATCATCAACGTTCAACCCCTTTGTGGACCCATACTAAGAACAGAAATAATTCAATTTATGTATCTAATATTTTAATTTTATTTTGACTTCATGTTGAGCAAGTTTGTTGGAATTCTGAACAGGAATATGGAGATCATTAAAAAATCAAGCGCGGTATAGATTCTAATGACGACAAAAAAAATGATTTTGACAATAAGGCGGAGCAGCGAGAGACCTGAAATTTTGTGTACCCTATGTAAAACTTTTCTTTCCAGACTGAATAACCTGCTAAACATTAACAAAAGGAAAACGTGTCGAAGTGTTTGTTATTTCATATGTATGTACTTTTTTAATTAACTTATAATTCAACCAAAGAATAATCAAACGCTCCGGACAACCATCAATTTGTACCGCTACGGAATTAAACACGTTGACCCTCCCTGCATAATTCGACACTGCATGGTACTAAATCATCCTGTACATATGACGCATGAAAAATTTAAACAAGTGAAGAAACAGATCATTTCAAAGAATCGTTTAAAAATATAGACAGTTTGATTTTGTATGGTATGTATGATAACAAAGGAAGGAGAGTAAATGCTTCCCGATCGTTCACATGCAAAAATATCCCCGGCTAATATGACGTTAAAATGACGTACTGATGCGCTCCGGGTGAATAGACATGTGCATGTTAATGATTTCACCAGAAATTATCTACTTATCCTAGAAATCAGAAATTTTGTATAGGTGTTTAATTTATTCGTTCAAGGTTGACAAATTTTCCTGAATTTGTCTCTGTTTTTGATGGAGTTAAAGTAAATGTCTCAATAATTTCCGAACAGCCCTCGTAACTAAGGTCTTTCTAATGATTATTAAAAATTTGAACTTCATTAACTGAGATACAAGACAGATTAAGAGCTCCAAACCTTTGTTATGTAAACAAGGTCCGTGTCATGTTTTTGTTTACATAGGTTATTATACTAAAAAATGTCCATTCAAAGCAGATAATTTCATTAAAAAAGTTTATTCTATACGTCTAGACGGTTTCCAGTGTTTTGCTGAATTTCATGTTGTTATAAATATGATATTTGCTACATGTAAACAAAAACAAGGCACGAGCTTTGTTTACATTATGAAGAACTTTAATGTTTAATTATGTTAAAACTGCGTCAAATGCATTATTATGATGGTGAGAGTTCCTAGATACTTGCTACTTATAAGATACTTTTGAATTGTGAATATCAGGAAAAATATTTTACATTAAAAGTACAATAAAGAAAATGCCTGAATGAAGCTACAAGAGCAGGAGTTATTGCCATTGTCAACATTTTTTAAAGATTGAATAACTGATTAAATAAAGGAAATATGCACTTTTAAATTCTTTTAATTAACAATACTTATCATTACACTTATGGAAAATCATTCTTTCAAAATATATTGTTCTATTGGATATACATTTAAAAACAGTTTTTGCAAAACCTTATTACATCACAGGAGGGTGGACTTACCTTAAGTAGAAAAGATACCTTTTTATTAAAAACCTAAGGCACCTTGGAATTATCGTTCTTAATGAACGACCAATGTTCGTGGATTTCCTGGGTCACCCTTATACACGAAAAAATATCTCCAAGAACAATTATTTAATCAAAATGTGTACTGTGCACAGGGAAATTTTCTCCCCCGTTTTTATTTTCTACTTACAAGAGGGCGAATTTAAAAAAAAAAAAACACAGTAGGATTTCTTAAAAAGAATTCTAACCGGGCGAAATTATAACGGGGGAAATGTAAGTGTGAAAGGGCAAAAAATTCCACGGGTTTGAAAATAACCCTGTATACCGTATTCATTTAATTGTTCATATATTAATAATAAAGGTACCAACGAACATACCTCAGTGAACACAGTATGCTTACCCACTTACACTGATCTCCACGAATTAAAATTATATCGAAGAAGTTTATGTATAATTCAATGCGATATTCTCACTGATATATAAAACTTAACCTGGAGAAACACAGCATTGTAATATGTTGATCTCCCTTCCGAATATGTTAACCGGCACATGAATTCCTCAACTGAAATGAAGGATTAATAAAGAAAAATCATCATACATATTTTTCATTCTAGTCAGTTTTTTTTCAGATACAACCTTCATTCAAGCTTACTGTACAACAAATAATGGTAATACTGTTGCTTGGCGAATAATAAGGATAGTTTTAATTTCGTTATGTTCGCACTTTGCTATTAATTTTCTTTGTGAAAATAAAGCCATCGTGAATGTGATTATTGGTTTATAAAAACGTTTAAATGCTTATAGAAAATTTTGAATTAATATCTCCCAGCGTGAAATTAAAACCATCATAATTGGTAATTTTTGAGATACCGTGAAATTTTAACACCATGGAACTATAAACGATTTACAGTTAATGAAAAAAAAAATCGACACTTGTCATTTTAAGAAGTTAATAAGTGATAAAAAGTTTTGGTAATACCAGGAAGTACATATTTTGAGTAGTTAGCTTCTATATTGATACTTCCGGATTCAAAGTCTTCTTCTATATAAGTTTTCCGAACAGACATCAGCTCCTAAAATAGGTAAAAAAAAAATGAAAGAAGAAAATCAATATACTGTGAAATCCCAAATTTTCGTGGGATCAAATTTTGCGTGGTTATAGTAAAAACTATTGGTTCGTGGGGATTTGAATTCGACGATGAAGAATTGTTTTGTAGTTATGTATTGGATATTTTATAATTCGTGATGGAAAATGATTTCGTAGGTCTCATCATACCGCAAAAACAACGAAAATTGAACCCCACGAAAATTTGTGTTTTCACAGTATGTTTAACTTTAAAGTTATTGAATAGCTAAGAAAGTCAAATTATTGAATGGCGCTTTAGAAAGGATCAGAGGATGAACCTCTGCAATTCAATGACATTTCAATTGATTCTTCAATTCATCGTGTGTTTTCATTTGAGACACATGTACCTTAAAATCTGAAGACAAAGGGTTTGAAGTGACATCTGCACAGTTTGCATAGCACACATTGTCTTGACTTCCTTGTACAATTTGCTCAGTTGTCATGCATCTTGATTTCCCCAGGAATGATTCGTTAAGTAACAGATAGACAATTTTGTATTGTTCCTGGAAAAAAAATATGATGAGATATTAGGTTTCAGTTAAAATTAATGTAGTATAAATTTCACAGAAATATATTTATTTTAACGCTGAAATATCTAAAAAAAAAATGTCCGTGTGTCTAAATATAACAATGAGCAAACGACAAATGTCACGGATTGATAAATGATAATCGGTCGCTCATGACTTTCTTCACACCTGATCCAATCGCTGATGTGTTGAGAGGCCAGTGCTTGCTCTGCAGTTTGTATTATTTTAATGGACACCAATCCTTCATAACTATTCGTAATAGTCAAATATGCATAACACTACAATTCATGTACAATGTAGTAGTTCGACTGTCACATTCATGTGCACGATTAAATTAATTTGATATGGTTTATCTGTTAAAGTCGAATTTATCAATTATGCGAGGCTTGTCTCAGAAAAACGCGAACAATATCAATATCAAATGCATGAATTAAATGATCCGTCATTAAAATTTTGTATCAAGGTCAAAACTTTGGAATCAAAATATTTCGCGGTTGGTCAATTTTCGCTGATTTAGTGGGTACCTTTCATCCTTGAATTTACAGCCATCACCAATTAATACGTTAGTGTTATGAAATCATTTTTCCTATCTTAATTTTAAAAAAAAAATACAGGAAATTACGTCCCCACCAAACTTTTAACAATTTAGGCAATCTACAAATTTTAGACCATTCATATTACTAACGACAGCTTAGTTGAAATATCTTTAATATACAGTGGCTGGAACGTTATTGTTGACAACTTACACGAACGATCACGTTACACGAACGATTCCGCACGATTAACGCACGATTAAACCTGTTACACGAACGATCTTTCACGTTCACGATTCTACACGTTACACGATCTTACACGATTTTTAACGCAAACGCACGATTCTTCACTCAAAATAGTTTAAAATATTTAGGAATCAATATTTTCGAAACGAAATACGGCTTAATACTTATTTAAGATTTCAAAGAAATATCAATATTATTTCATAGACTTTGAAGAAAAAAACGGAAAATGATATTTCTGTTACTAAATATATGCAAGACTTAATATTTGAGATTAAAAATAATTATTTCTAAGGTAATTCTCCGATTAAAAAAAACGGATTTTGTTCGTTCTATTAGACGATGTACATGTTTGTGGGTCGTATCATTTTATTGAATTGGATATCATGATATGCAGAAAGTGGATACGATTGAATAAAAATGGCAGAATGGAATGACTTAAATTATAATCACAAAATTTATCCTTATGTTTCCAATGCTTCAATGTCTGATAAACTTGCCAATTATTCAACTTTTTTATTTGCAGAAATTTAAAATTAATTAATTACAAATAGGCTCAAGAGATAAACACAGATAATCAAAACTCCTGAAAATCATGCCGTGTCCATGTATATTTGTCGACCAGCTAGTTATTTAACCATTGAGAAATAATTATTTCTTTGTAAAAAAAAAATCTATTTTCAATGAATTGATTTCAAGATTATCTTGACCACAATAAGAAGTTAATAATAATTAAAATCATATTTTTTAAAAAGGCGTTAAAGATCTAAGTACGGTTTATCACAATATCGATCGCGCTATTTGACGAGAACTTAATATTGTACGATTCACTATCTTACTTGTTTACGGGCGACAATTAGTTCGTTCTGCATTCTATTATGTAAATTGCGCTTTTTCATTTTATTTGGATTTTAATTAATAAATTAAGAAAAACAAACAAGGGAAATGCTTATTTTACAAATAACATTCCGATAAAAACTAACAAAACGAAATTTACACGATTCTAAACGCACGATCTCGCACGATTAAAAACGCACACGATTGAGTCTGATACACGAACGATCTTGCACGTTACACGAACGATCACTCACGATACACGAACGATTCTACACGATTGGTTTGTCAACAATAACGTTCCAGCCACTGTAACTGGGAAAAAAAATATTGTATAACATGCTTTTGACAACTTTCTCGTATTTTTGCATTAAGTTACATTCAAAATATCATTGATATTAAAAAAAATAATCATGCTTTTATAAGAATAAATAAAATAATAAAACTTACATCCCCTTGTATCATGTTCATTCTGTCTTTTCTCATAGTCCTGACGTACATCGGTACATTGACTTTACCATTTATCTCCCCTTCCCGGTAGAGGGCGTCTAGAGCTATATATGTCCCGGTTCTCCCGATTCCGGCACTAACATTTTTACAAAATTTAATTGCCTTTAGAAAAAAATGAGTGAAGTTTCTTTGTGTAGGAAATATAGAAAGAAAAAAATGAGAGAGAAAATAGAATGCGAAAATGAGAGTGTTCGTTAAACCTGCAGTGCACAGCAATGTATTTTCCAGTGTGTTTAGTGGAAACTCTCATCACGTGACGATGAAACACAACAAGACTGAGTGGGGCAGGTACTCCGTGATCTGGCCATCTTGTATAGTGAAACATCACAACTTCCCTATCTTTTTGATCCTGCAAACATATTTTAGATTCTTAATTATTACGATTTCAAACAGATGTTTTGGTAAACATGTACGGCAGCTTCAAATTTATCTTTTCTTTTTTTTTGGGGGGGGGGGGGGAAATAAATTAAGCTATGTAATCTTCAGGTTTGGAAGAAAATATCAGGGATAAGAAAGTAAATTCTGTTAAATTAAAAATGAATTTCTTTTTTTCTATCAGAACAAGATCTGGAAAATGCTAATGATTTTTTTTCTAGCCATTATTCCATTCAGTTGTCCTTGTAACAAGGTAACGCGTGTTAATTTTTAATACATCGGCTTGGCCGAAATCAGGTGCCCATGTTGGTTGCAGATTAACCAAAAATTGAGTCAAATGAATATTATTTCAAGTATGTTCTATGTAACACTACATCCCTTTGCCACATTGTCTAAAATTTCTGTCCATTCTGTCCAGATTTTACTCTTACTAAAACAGAGACCCAAGTGGGTTACAGACTAAAAAACAATCCCATTCTATAGAAAGGCATTTCCAGTAAAAATGTTACAATATATAGAGGACATGGATTAATCTGTCAATCTTTGAGTGTTTTTCTACACTTAATATTTGGAAATTTGAAGAAAAAATAAATTGAGATACTTTAAATTTTCTAAAGAAACTGTATAAAGGAGTGAGAATTTCAAACTTATTTAATAATACTCAATAATACTCAAAGAAAAAAAAACTATTTCAGGGAATTCTTTATTGACTATTTTGAGACCCTTGGCTACGGACTATACAAAGAGTTATTTTCATTTAAGGAGTGACTCTAGAAAAAATAGTTTCTTGTATCAGTATAAATTTGTTAAAAGTATCATCTTGGAGTTACATGAGTTTGAAAGATCCTATCAGTTGGATATTAAATATAAATTTATACAAAAATCCTGTGAAATTTAACAAAATAAACTTAAACTTAATATAAGTTCCAATACGAGTAAAATATGAATTGTCAGAACAAAATGATACATGTCAGAACTACATGTAATTGGTGTTTTGATAACAAAATATTGTCTTAAACCATCTAAAGACCAAGAAAGAACTTTAATTAAGCATCAAAGATGGATGCATTTTATAAGAACACTACGGACTACAAAAAGTTCTTTTGAGGACAATCATCTTAAAGAAAATATAATAGTATAATTAATTCTTTGGCAATTTTTATTATTATTTTGGTTATCTACAACAGTTCACAGCACTTTGACTGAGTATTTATAATTTCATGCTCAAAGATAAATTATCTAATGTACTGTGTACCTCCATGATCAATGCAAAATGAAATTCCAGTTCAACTAATAATTAAAGCATAATTGGTGTTCAAGCTATAATGAAAATAGCAAAATAAGAAGTAACTAAGTCAAGACCTGATTCTTTTTGGAGGGATGGGGTTACAGACGTTATTGCTTCATACTTTTTTCAGTTTAATTTTAATGTTAATACATATTGCTCAATGTGGTCAGTCAAAAAGGTCAATCAGTATAGAGTTTATGATCAAGATCATATAGTGTATTTCATAACAAAAAGAACAAGATTGAACATTTGAAGTTAAAAGAAACATAGAATTTCGATATTTATTTATAAAGCTTCAATGCTTTTTTACTTTAAATTAACAATTAGTGACAAGTAGATTGGGTGGTGCAATCTTCAGACACTATAATTTTAATTACAGTCGATTATGTATTTAAAACATTGCATTAGTTCGAATAAACATATTATTAAATTGTATAATGTATCGGACTTTTTCTGGTAGTTGTAATATAGGGGCTACGGACTATACAGGGCTATGGACAACAACCATTCTTCTATAACTTCATTAAGTGTTGTCGTAAAAGCTTTCATTACTGTTTTTATTCTTCACTGGTAACAGTGAAAATATATAACAAGAGCATTATAAATTATACATTCTTCTGTTGAACATAAGCTATCATGCAATATGGGGCTACGGACTTTACAAAATATTAGATCAGTATGGAAAAGAAATTTCAAAATGTGCACACAATTAACCATATAACCACTATATTTTTCTTATAGTACTTTTTTCTTAAGTAAATTAAAAGTTTTTAAACACATTTTTTATTTTTTTTTCTGCTAAAAATTATAAATTTATTTAGACATTGATATATCTAAATTCATATAACAAACTTAAGGTACCGGTATATCTGCACATATTTATTCATGATTTTCACAATTTTTTATCCTAGGCTTTTATTTTCTTTTTTGTAAAAAATAAACTTAACTAGAATGGTTTCTCTATAATAAATTTAATCTATTTTGGAATGTTTCATTCAAATTAATTTTAATCAACCATTTTTAAAAATGTAAAAATAAATCAAGTGCAACAGCATAACACTTCAAAAATTATAAATTTGAGAAATCATTCTGTTGTTTTTTTCAAAGATGCAGGAACTCTAATATATAATATAATAAACCAATGGTAAGCTCTAACTCTGCTCTTCGCAATGCAATTTGAGACATTTAGATTAATTGTAACTTTGAAGAGTTACATCTATATAACAACATTCATGTGGAAATGTTCACCTGATCTTGCCAAGCCGACATGCATTTACAACTGAATGAACATTACGCACAGTGAAAGATCAATTATTCTTTGTTCGTGGAAATTAACATGATATTTTGGGGGGCATTTTGCAGATTTTTTTTTCACGAATATTTGTCTTGGATTTCTTCCCATATAAGCATAACTTTCTACTCTTGTTTATTGAATAACGAATTTCATTTTGCTCTCACCAAAAGATTGTAGACCTTGAAATGTCTTTTAGTGTAATTTGCATATACTTTTTCTTCCATGCTTCTGACATTAAATCCTCCATCCTGTAACTTGTCGTTTATGTTTGGCCAATACTGTGAGCATTTGATCTAGATATAGAGATAAAATCCAGTTTAATTCATTAATTCATCACATTATTTTAGTATTATATTAAGTGGATTGAATCAATATATTGATCGAAATAAAGAAAAAAAAATAATGTGTGATGTTATTTCTTCCTAAATAAAGGAAATTATTTTATGATTGTTAGACATTAAATGAATAAGGTTATTCAAAATTTTAATTACTAAACAAATGACATGCAAAAATAAACAACGCTTCAAGAATAATCTTGACAAAATTTATCTGGGGTTGACATACTTCATGTTATATGGGGAAAAACAAAACACAAACCAAAATGCAAACAAACAGAAAAGATATGACTTATGTTGTGTGTATTTTTCAGCCACCTTTGCGCCTTCTTTGAGATTGGTCAGACAAACAATAATAGAAACATCCTCCTGCCATATCATTTTCCAAAAATCAGCAATCGTCTTAGGCATAGGACCTAACAAATTAGTAATATACAAGGAATGAAGCTTATTCCAACTTATGTTATACGATATAACATAACTTGAGGCAGTTTACGCTTAAAAATCCGTGAAGCGGTTTATAAAAGAGCGTAAACTGCACCAAGTTATTGTTATTTCGTATACCATAAGTTGAAATAAGCTTCATTCCTTATAATTTAATTTCAATGTAGACAATGAGACCTTTTTTTTCCTTCTGAAAAAGGCTTCAAATATCGCATAATTAAAAAGTTTACGTCAAGCGGAGTACTACGTTTTTGACGTAATTCATTGTGACGTAGGCAGGTTATGTTATACAAAATAGATTAAACCGTTTAACCAATCAAATGACGTATTGCAACTAAAATTAAATTATATAACAATAACATTTTTTTCTTCAAAAAATACAAAGAAAACAAATTCATATAAAGTGAAACAACCGGAAGTTAGAAGAAAAATCTAAATTGAAGTAGAACAAAGAAATATTTTTCTAAAATTTCAAAAAAAAGTATTCTACTTTACTTATAAAATTCAAAATTCACATATATATTAATCTATTTTTATAAATTAAAGATATTTCTGTATACCTTGCGTAGCAATGTAAGAACGTTTTCCTTGGACATCCTATAATTATAAATAGAAAAGCAGAATCATAGGTATTTCAATGTTTAATACGCTTGTTGTATACCTAGAAAAAGGATTAAAACAACATTTACAATAAAAGTGAAAGAAGACGTACGCTTAATGTTTTTTAATATTTTCGCTTTCAAAATGCTTTCATAATTATGTAAAATATGTATATTATCTAAACAAACCTCTATATAGTTAGCATTGATGTAATCCCCTTCATTAGATGATGATGTTTTCAATATGACTCGAGAATGGTCATCTGTAGGTATCGTGAAATTAAAATGCAATTATTTTACGAAATGAATGTTTGTGTTTCTAAAAAAATAAATGGATGTCTTGGAATTCTTATATTCTTACATGGAAACGTTGTTGTGTATCTATTTTTAGATTTGTTTTCTGGTCGTTTGGCTTCTTCACATGGATGAAGTTCACCGTTTGGGATATCCTGTAAATACATGTTTCGTTACTGTTAAAAGACAACATTGACAGGGCTGGGTGATCGTGGCCATTTTCAGACTATTTTGATCTCCTTTAGAAAAAGAGTTCTACATAAAGATATACAAAAATTATCAAATTTTAAAAATAAAATTTATGAAATTTTTCTTTGACAAATGATAATTGACAGCTTGTGATACAATATCTGATAATATAAGATATATCTAGTGATTAATTTGATGACCTCACAGCCTCCTTAGTCATTTTCAGTGATTCAAAACCTTAATTACAAAAACCTCGATGGGTTTTTGGAGGACTCTAATTTTATAAACAGTAACCAGTATGTTTCTCCTTCACATGTTTCAGATTTTATTAATTCATATTGAATGTTACAAAACTCGATGAATTTTTGGATTGCTTTACCTTTATAATAATAAATCTATACGTTACTCCGTTACTTACTTTCAGATTTTATTGCAGTCATACCTGATATTCATGTTGAAAGCCAATGTCATCTGTTGCTGACATTTGAGATATAATGGCTGGTAAATTATTCACTGGTATACATTCATTGGTTGGTGGCCCTCGCTTGGCACGCTCGTTTTCATCTTCTGAGTTATGAACAATGTCTGTATTAATTAGGTTGCTGTCTGGTAAATATATGTACATTTAACATTTTTTGTATATATTGCATTTTTCTTTCTTACCTTCTCGTATAAACAAAGGTTATTTAACAAGAGCCCAAGGGGCTACATCGCTCACCTGAGCACATCGGTTAAGAAAAAGCATAAATCAGATCAGAATTGAAACTATATTTGGGGGCTTGAATTTTAGAAATACTTGAGAATGCCTCCATATCAATATAGCATATAACTTTGCTGTTCTTGAGAATAAGTTTTTTTTTAAAGATTTCCCTATATATCCGATGTAAAACTTTGATCGGCCATCAGGTCCCATCCTACCCCCACGGGTCAGGGTTTTAAACTCTTTTAATCTACACAACCTGAGATTCAACATGAGTTTCGTCTTTCCTGTCCCTATGGATCTTGAGGAGAAGATTTTTAAAAAAAAATTCCGATATATTCCTAAGTAAAACTTTGATCGGCCATTGTGGCGCCACCATACCCCCGGGGGTCATGATTTGAACAAAGTGGAATCTTTACTACCTGAGGCTGATTCAACATGGGGTTCATCTTTTCTATCCCAATGGTTCTTGATTCCCATTGTGGCCCCACCCTACCCCCGGGAGGTCATGATTTGAAGAAACCTAACTTTTTTCATTCCTGGTTCCTGAGAAGAAGATTTTTAAAGATTTTTCCTATATATTCCTATGTAAAAATCGTCTGGTTTGGCCCTGTCCTACTCCAAGGGGTCATGATTTGAACAAACTTAAATCAACACTACCTACGGATGATTCCACATGAATTTCATCATTCCTCTGTCAATGGTTCTTGAGAAGAAGATTTTTGTCGTCTTAGCCAAATTCCCTTTACTCGAAATGATCAATTCCGAAGTTACTTGATATACACATATGACGTCCTCGGTGGTAGATATTGATGAAAATGACAGATACAGCATAAAAAAATCAAAAGAATTTATTTTTGTTAATGTTTACACTTTTCCATTCATTTTCTAGAGTTAACTTACATCTCTAAATACCTATATTACGAAAACGTGCGTTCTAAAATTGACCTTATCTCGCCTAGTATAGCATCATACATGTAATGTTTCACTGATACATTCTGTATGCTTCCTTATTACCCCTGCTATTTCACAACAAAGAGATTTTAAGAAAAAAAAATGTATAAGATTTCATTAAAAAGGATGGTTGCAAATAGGTTGAAGTTTGAACACATTAAATGTTACAAACTAATTATATTTTAGAACAAGATATATAGAGAAAGATAGAAGAGTATCATAAAAATTGCTGTACTACTTGAAACAAATGATATAATTATATAAAATGAACAAATAGAAAAAAAAATGTCCAAAATACTAATAACTTATATATGTATGGCCTTACGTTCTGAAGAGGATTCCCTGTTCACGCTTTCTACCATAGAAATATGCTTCATGTTAAGTATATCTTTCTGTTTAGCTGAAGTCTCTGAAGATTTTCTTTTATATCTACAAATGAAAAAAAAATAATCCTTAATGTAAATTTTCAGTTTAAGTTTTTATTGCGTGAAAAAGAACAATCTCATGTAACAAAGTTGTAAATATGAGGGAGAGGACAACTATTGCTCACGAACCTTGCTATTAATACATACCGAATAAGTAAAATAACCACAACAGCAATAATGATGACAACTGCTAACGGAACAACAACCCCAATAGCAATGAGCATATCCGATGAAGCAGTATTAGAAACCGGGTAGGCTCGAACTATTCCTAAGCGAAAAAAGCAAGGCGTAATTTATTTAGCCTTTTCATAAGCTTGTATTGGATATATTAAAATAGGCTGCATGCGAGAGAAACGCCACCTTTTAATTCCCTCAATTAAATTGTAATTGTGTGTGCAGTTAAGTAAACTTTATGACTTATTATAGTAAAAAAAAATCAAAAACAAAAAAAGTAATGTAAATAAATTAAACAAATGAGTATCATAGTTGCTGAATAAGAAATACGTCTTTTTGAACCTTGATTGCATTTTTCTCCATAAGCTTCTCCTTTACAACCAAACAAGCAACTTCCGCTGATTCTGTCACATGTACCATTAACACAATAATCACTGCATGGGGTTTGACAGTCCTCTCCGTATGAATTAATACATTCTAAAGAATCAAATGAAAACATCAACTGCCTACAAATCTTTCATAATTGTATTATGTCTGAAACATGAATGTTTAATTTAGAAAAAAAAATTGATGATGTTAATTTTCATATGCTGTCATTGTTTCATCAATTGATCAAACATATTTAGGATAGTTTAAACAAAACAAATGTAAATCAGGTACCATTTTTTGAATAATTGAACAAATATCAAAACATCTAGCACTTGGAATATAAAAATGTACATCTAAATGTAAAATTACCTATTGTGCAATTTGGTGACCCTTTCCATCCAGCTGAACATTTACATGATCCATCAGTATTCTTACACACAGAGGGACGGATGCAATTTTCTGAGCAATTTTGTGAACAATTCGAACCATAATAGCCCACATCACATGCTAAAAGTACATTTCGTGATTCTTATTTATCTGTTCAGTATTAAATGTTTTAACCAAAAGAAAAACGGTTAGCATTTCTACATGTATACATGATCTTCCGTTGAATCCATGATACATGATATGTTTCATATTCAATTGCAAGATATAATTCAAAATAAATTATGATATATTAAAAAAAATAATTTGAATTATCATTAATTTATTAAGAGAAATATATACATGCGAATGTATTTGGCTTTCTTATATGTTTTTCTTACATATGTTACAAATGTTTCCAAGGAATCCGTCATTACATCCCTTCGCGCACACTCCGTTCGCATGGTTACATACCGTGTTATTTACACAGTTCCCACTGCAAATATCTTTGCATAAGTGTCCAAACTTTCCCGGTGGACAGGCTGTTTAATAAGTATTCAACATTGTTATTTTGCAGATAATGATTGGAAATACACATGATCTCTTATAGTTCAAATTTAATTGAGATTTTAGAAAAAAAAAATTGGCTTTCAACGAATTTTTTATAATTACATTTTTTACAGAAAGTTCCAACGTATCCTGGATCACAACCCGTGTCACAGTGACCTGATATTTTGTTGCAATAGGAATTATTAAAACAGTGTCCACTGCAATTGTGTATGCAGTTTATACCATACATCCCATTTTCACATTCTGTAAAAAGAAAATATTTAAAATAACGTCAGATTTTTTTTTTTTCATTTTCAGATATTTCCGAATTTGTGAAACTATATAAACTCTTGAGCGAGATTAGTGTTTGAAATACAATTTATTATATACCTATAGATAAAGTCCTACTAAGTGATCTTAAAATTTATAGAATAGAATGAGTAGAGAGATAAAAATTAACGGTACCTTTGTCACACTGGGTCCCAGTCCATCCCGAGGCACATCCGCCATCACATATACCAGACGTGTGGTTACAGTAGTCGTTGTTTACACAATGTCCTACACACTGGTTGGTACACCCAGGTCCAAACCATCCTTCAGAGCACTCTGTTAATTTCAAATAATTACTACACTACAACGCATATGATTTAAAAAAAACAATATGCATTAACATGCAACTACATGTTTACGATAGTTATGTATATTTGTACATCCATAGAAAGTTGCATTTTTTAAATAAATCTTCTGAACTATTTTTTATACATTATATTTTGTAAAATTTTAAACCAAATTGCAAAAGAGTATGTATTCATCTTTGTCCTCTTCAGTGTATTATTATTAAAAAATCAAACTTAAAAGATTGCATAAAAATCAATTTTAATACTTAACTAAAGGTACCACGAGCAATGAGCTCACTAAATGATACCCACGCCTCCCATATGAATATAATATGAGTGTCCATCCTTTGTTGTGGGAAACCCAAAATATGTGTCGTATCAAAAAATAAAATAGAAGGTGCACAATGGCAATATGTAATAAAGATTCTGTGAAAGTGTCATCAAATTTCATTCAGTGGTATGGGATGAGTTGCTGATATGAGATGGGTACCCCAAAGCGTAACAGACAGACGGACGGACGGACGGACTGACTGACATAACGATTACTATATACCCTCCCGCTTTTCAAGCGGGGAGTATAACAAACGTTTATCCATGCATTGATATATTCATTTTACTATTTATATATTGAGTCATTCCTGATCCTTCTATCAATAATAGAATGGTCATCTCATGTTGAATGTGACGCTAAAGTATATAATGTTTGGAAAATTCCTTTTACAAACAGAAAGAAAATTATGCTTAACAGAAAAACACATAAAATTTCAGACTGTAGTTATAAAAACATTATGAATAACAATAAACACTGCTTTCTAAGAAAATTGTGCTCCTTTATAAAGAAAATAAATAAAATATGCTCCCCGGCCTAAATTCCCATACTTCACATTTATAGCAACCTACAATTTTTTTTGGTTTAGTTTCTTATTCACGAATGCATCTTAGACCTACTGTTGTATATAAAATCACCTATATGTAATCTCTGTATACTATTGTAAATGGTGGAGAGATTCAAATGATTGATTGATTTTAAAATGAGAAAATGCTGAAGATAGCAAATCATGGTTGCTTTTAACAAAGTCTATAAAGTAAACAATACAAATCTTTGAAGAGGTCATGAAATTTAGACGCCTGGAAATTTTTCATACGTCAGATTAAATGTCTATGAAAAGTCATCAACCCCTGTGTTAAACGCCGTCAAACCAACCATGAACCCAATGTATTGATCTTGTAAACATAACATGTAGTTGTCCTATTCAGTATAAACAAATGCCTAAAAAATGTGTTTTAACACGTCAGCTAAATAATTGCGTAGTGATAGCTTATCATTTGCTTAAATTATTTGCTAACAATGGTAAAAGAAGACAAGAAAAACAATAAACCCCTCAATTACTCTTGGTATTGAAATGAATTTAAAGATGGTTCTATCTGATTTGATATCTAGAGATAGATTTTAATAAGCAATTTGCTGCTGAGTACTTCTTTCGCACGTATGTCCAGTCCATCCGGGTTTACAGTCAAGACAGCTTCCATTAACTAAATGACATCTCTGATGTTGGCAATTTTCCGGACAGGGGGTATTGCAGTCACTACCATAAACTCCTTTTTTCTCGCAACCTGGAAAAATTAAGTATTCATAACAAACTCGAAGATATCAGTTTTTTCCTACCCTAATATTCGGCATTAAATGGATATCAAACATCAGATCATGGAGATATTCTTAACACAGCTAAAAATTTTATAAGAACATGATGAACTTCAGGAGGGTAGCATCGTTTCTGAAAGTGGGGGGGGGGGGCAGCCAGAAAAAAAAATTACTTACCTGAAAAATTTTCCGAGCAAAAAAAAAAAAGGAAAAGTTGCCCAAAGTCGAAAATCCTATTTCGTGGTGGGTGAGTGTGTGTGTGTATGTGTGTGTGTGTCTCAATGTCAATTACTTTAAGTACCAATTTTCATACTACATTTGTCGTACATCACTAATAGTGGGGGCCAACTAGACTTTCAATTAACATTTCCTATACTATAAATGCCCCCCCCCCCTTGTTTCCGCAACCTAACTTAACTGCCCCCTCCCCCCACCCCCCGTTGCTACGCCCCTGAACTTAAACCTAGTTGTCATGGAACAAGGATTGATTAAGGATGGTCTCTGTGTATGTGCCTCAACAGTAACCGAAGTTCGATATTTCTGCTTATATTCAACATTTACTCAATGTACTTGTAAAAATCCGTTCTTTTCATATACCAAAAGTTGAACATCTAGGCTTCAGACATACATGCACATACTGTAATTCCTAGTTTGAAAAGTGCAATCACGGTTAATAACTTCCCTTCAGTGAATACAAAAAAATGCATTATTGCACATGTGCTTAAAACTTTATTCAGTAACCAAAAATTAAGTTATGTATTAAGTCTTAGGTGATTATCATGATTATCTGTAGTTAACAATATGAACTTTCTTTTTAAGTAAAATAACAGATAAAACAATTAACAATGTGGTACATATTAAACCATATTGACACATTTGATATAAGAATATACAATTTGAAATATATTACTTATTTTCAAACTTGCTTTCACATACATATGAAGTTGTAAGTCAAAAACATGTATTTATAAAATCAGTACATGTATAATTAAATTTAAAACATAACAATTGAAAATTACAATAAATCTTAATAATTTGAAAGAGTATTACTGTACATGTATATACCATGGAAAAAATCATTTGAAAATGCAGGCAAAATATGCATTTTTGTCTTAAATATATAAAAAGTACAATTACTTTTTAATACATACCTTTCCCAATGAAAGCGAAAACAGGAAAGGTTACATGTAAGCGATTGGAAAAAAAGGTTCTTCAGTTTTTAGCAATATGCATAATACTTAACATTTACATAATAAATGCTTTCTCAGAACCCCTGATTCAAAGAATCTTGTTGAAAAAATTCAAATTGAAGGGAGCACTTTTATTCCTATAAAGTTTTTTATTATAAATGTAGCATATCATGTGCTATCATATTTATAAGTATTTTAATTATTTTCTAAAAGAGGTAGGTTTACCTCCCTTTACGGGCTGGCCATTGACCCCCTCTTTCCATACTTACCTGTTAATTATACATTGGTACATATTAAATTTTATCTAATAGAAGTAATCTTTAATCACTTGATGCTCACAACAATCTACATGATTTATGTATAGTATTCATTTGAATCAGGGAACCTGAGATTTCAAACTAAAATCTGACTATAGCTATGACAATGTAATGACATTTTTGAACTGTTAATAAGGCATTGTTATTTTGAAGAAACATATTTACAAACAGTTCATAGTACAAATAAGACATGATTAAGTAAAATATAATTCCTTTTTGTGTGTCAGGTTTTATCAAGTTTTTTGCTTGACAAAAAAACTTAACAAGCCACAAATCCAAATAAAATTGCAAAATATTTCAGCAAAATATAATTTTAAGTCATGTAGTCAATGAACAGCTCCAACTCAGTGGTGTCCACATTCTATAAGGTGACACAGTACATTTAATTTTTGCAATGATATATCTGGCAAATATTATGAGAAGATATGAATGTCACACAAAGTAGCTGAAAGAGTCAGAACAATTCACAGATAATATGGCATATGGTCTAGAGTCACAATCACTGCAGTCTATCAAAGGGTAAATTCTTCAATGTCCATCAAGAAAGATCACAAAATATCAGGATAAAAGAAGCTCCCAATTTAATATCCAGTTATCGGTATTTAAATGCAAATTCACATTATGGGACAGATGATTCTCAATTTCTGAAACATCAATACTGTTTGTAAGATATCTGAACTTTAGAAATTGTAATACATTGTTCTCAGAATGAATATATCCAATACGTTGAACAAACTACGAAATGAATATACATGATTATACTTATAACAATAATGGAAGTAAATAAAAAACTAAAGAAATTTACAAACTATATATTCAAAAGTTAATACTTGTTATACATATTGCATAAAGGAGATGTTCACAGTTTTACAAATCCTCAGATATAAAATCAACAGTTGATCAATCTACTGGTTATATGGTCAGAAATAATGCATTTATTTATGAATATGACCTTTCATTTCAATTTAAATATGCATATTAAATTCAGCATTAATTGTAGCCAAAGCAAAAGATATGAATTTTTTAAATCCATACAATTAAAATCTTAAGAAATTAAACACCCAGTATATACTTGTACGTAAGTACAATAAGAATTCAATATGTTACTGACAGTCAGGTCTAAAACATAGATGTCTTCATTTAAAAACAAAAATTGATTTGATACAAATTTCAAATTTTCAAATAGTGGGTTATTTAACAAAAAAGCCCAAATAAGGCTAATACCCCAACAACCGAATACGGAAAGACATATACTTGGCAAAAATTATTTCAAATGACCAAGGAAATGGCCTGAGTTTTGTTATGATATAATTAGTAAAAGGTCATGTTATTATCCATTGAGTGAAGAACACAATTACCTACAGTTCAAACTTTTGGATCGAAGAATACTCAACTTCTTAGTGACATATTACAGAATGATTTTGTACAATCATGACATCCAGTGAGATCAAGACAGATCCCTTTTTCATCAGCAACCTCTGCCAAAGTATAACATATAATATACACCCAGAACCAAAAATTTTAAACATTCCAAGTTTGAGAACTTGATCATATTTTTAGTGGTCATGACAGCATATAAAAAAAATGGCTCCAGGCTTTGAAAAATTTAGACACAGACAGATGGACATGTTGAGTCCAGTATAATCCAGTATACCCCTAAAATTTTAAGGGGTATACTAGGATTGGGACAAAGGGATGAGGGAGGGGGCACTATTTTGAATCTCCCTCTGAATTTTTTTTTACTTTGGAGCCCCATTGTATTTAATGCAAAGTCTTATCAAATGCACAGTACACCATTTTATGATCTGACCAGTATGCTTCAATAACATCTG